AAACATGGTGAGTTTTAAGTACTATAAATTACACACCAATCGTTCATTGAAAAAAAAAAGAAAAAGTGTGCAAATTATGAATTTCTAATAAATTTCCGAATTATTTGGTTTCCAAAATTTCGAAATTTTTTATAAAACAATGCTTGCTTATATCGAAAATTTTAATTAAAAAATATAATAATATTTTAGCATGAAAATGATACCAATGATTAATAATTAAAATCGCAAAAAATATAAAAACTCTTTAATTAATGTATATAATAATTTAATTTTAGAAATACAAATATCTGTTTCAAAAATTTAATAAAGATTAGCGAAATACTCGTAAATATTTCATACTCTTTATCACGGTAATAATAAACAATGCCAATAATTAATTAAGAGTTATATTTATGAGAAAGATAATTCAAGAGAATTCTCTTTGTGTTTCTTACGACATTATTTTGTTCATCTCGTCCTCTTTGTGCAGAATCTCTATTGCTCTATAAAACTCTTTCATTTTTCTGCGAACGATAGTTTTATTTTCCGATTTTCCAGCGCGTCTCTCGTCAAACTTCTCTCCGCTTAGTAAACCAGTTTCGTTTTCACGTCCATCAAGATTTGCTCGTGTAGAACGGATTTCGTTCGTGACAATGCGCGCGAGAGCCTTTTTTTTCTGCGGCGACGTAGATTCCTAAGGCATAAGCAACCCCCGGAGCATATGTGTGCACAAGAGAGCAAGAAGCATGCGAGAGAGGGAGAAAAGAGAACGCGAGAGAGGATCGAACATATTTTTGGGAAAAAGGATTCCGTGGGAACTTAGGGAGAGCAAGCAAGAGTTGGATTTCGTGAAGAGGAGGAGGCCGTCTGCGTGTGTTTGAGAATGATTATCGACGCGGTGGGAGGGAGGAAGAGGGGACGGGAGAATAATGTCGACGGAAAGGGGGATGAAACGGTCGTCGCAGATTTTTCTACGGTTTTTTGGGGCGAAACGGGGTTCCCCGGGCATTGCGAAAAAGATGAATTATACCGTAAAGAGACGAAACGACGGATTTTTGATAGCTTTTATGAGTCATACGTCGAAAAAGGGTTAAGTTCGAATGCACTAAGAAAGAGTTGAAAATTCATAGCTCGAATAATCGGTTGACGACTCGAAAAAAGGGTTCTATAAAAAGAGGGTTTTGTTACGTTATTTCTCGCTTCGAAAAAAGCCCTTTTTTAAGTTCTCGAGAATTTCTCGAGAAAAGACATTCTTATGAGAAGCAATGAAACTTCTTCTAACCCATCAAAGATCCTTTTCTATTTAAAAACGGCTCAATAAAAAAAATGCTACGTCGAAGAAAAGAATTGCAATTTTTTGAATTTTAGGACATTTGACAGAAAGTTTATTTTGTTTATTAATAACTTAAGAAAACACTAAATTTTAGTTTTAAAAAGCTGAGCTGAAGGTGTGAACGATTTCTTTCTATGCCAAGCAGAATTTTCTCGGACTATTCAAATTTTCAATACAATATAGAAATAAATTTCTTTATTGACATCTGACAGCGAACGTTGACTCGTTGAATCGACACAATTCGTTTTAGTTTTAAGTTATTTATTTTTTAGTGTCAGTAATATATAAATGCCAAATTTTTTAATCATTAGGAATTTGTAGAAGATATGTAATTAAATGGGTACTTTTTATTTTTTACTGCATTAGAATTTAATAGTTAATTAGATTTGCTTTAGAATTTGATTTAGCTTTTATACATATAGATTTCTGAATATATTAGGAGAAAGAGAGAAAAATATCAATAAATTCCAAATGCAGTAAATAAGGCATATTTTGTTATAAATATAAAATTATTGTAACTATAAAGTCTATATAAGTAACGCACGTTTCAGTCCTTTTTTTAGACCATCCTCAGCACAATCAATTTTTTTTTCTTCTTAAAGTCATGCATAAGAAAGGATATAACATTGTTGCACTAAATATTACAAAATAAATTTTGATTATCAGAAAGACAACATAAAAAATTAATATTGATATGAAAAATAACAATGATAAATTTAATTTGATATAATAATAATTAAAATTTTGTCATTAAAATAGATTTTAATGAAAATTATTATTATGTATAAATTGCACGTAAAATTTTATATAAATTGCATATAGAAAATTTGTATTTTTTGTATTTTATAAAGACACACAGAAATAGACATCGTGAAAACACGTGTCATATAAAAATACAAAATACAGCCGACTATTCTCAAATTTCCATGAGTTCCTATGCACTTCGGAGAGCATATGGAAGATATATACACATATGCAGTCGAGCATGTGTAGATGTGAAGAGCACAATTCCATTGTCGGAGCAAATCCCTTGTTTGTTCGAATATCTGGCAAACAGCTGATTGGGATTTTCGAACTCGAACTCTGCTCTCTCATTACACATGGTGTGTTCCTTTCGCAATGATGACGCTCTCGTGTTTGCGAACTTGAAAACGAACAAATGTGGATTCGAAGACGATTTTTTTTGAGATATTAAAATTAATTATTTATTCAGCAATTTTAAAATTTCATATTTATATAATTAATACAATTAATACAAATCAAAACAATATTTATGTTAAATAATTCAATATAAAATAACAATATATTAATATCATTAAAGAAATTTAAGAAAATCAAAGTTAATAAATATTGTTTTTAAATAAATACAAAATAAAACAAAAAATTTCTTCTTTATAAAATTTCTTTGATATGCTTATTCATCATTCAAAGCTCAGATAAATATTATTTGATTATTATTCTAATCAAAAATTTCTCCGAGATAATCTAAATTATCTAATGTAAAGAGAAAGAGAAAGAGAGAAAGAGCGAGAAAGAAGAGAAAAAGAGGGAGAGAGAGAAAAAGGGAGGAAGGTAGGGAGAGAGAATCAGAAACTCTCGTAAAGTTTTGTCACATGTTAGATGTTGGCAAAAACACACTGAATTAGACATGTACTTAATAACATCATCACTAATACATTAATGGACTGTATACGTGGCTGACTTTCCCCGCCTCCGACAAGTCCGACAAAAGGGAGAGAAATCACCCCATCGTCAGGTTTATTTAATACAAAGCTGGGCGGGGTGTGTGGGGTGGCATTCGGCTGCCGCCAGATGTGGGCGCGGGGGGTGGCGACAACCTGTTGAGTCAGACAATATCGCGTTTTTACTAATGCCAACATCGTCGTCCCGACACGGAGAATCGAGGGGGTGGCCGCATTTTTGCCTCGATCCCGCAGCCCCAGCTCGAGATCATTATTATCGAGTCTGGGATTATTAACTTCGAGATACTTGTAAATCCGCGAGATGAGAAGCTTATCTTTGCACAAAAGCAACGATAAGTGAAGAAACAAGAATAAATAATAATATTTTGTTTCAATATCTCATGAAATATTGTCAGCATGAACGCGTAAAAAAATAATCAAGATAATAAGCAACTGGTGCTTTTTTCTTTTCGTTGTATAGCATATATTAATATTCTTTTAAATTTATTTTAATTTATTGATTAAGTTATATGTGTATTGATTTATACAAAATATGCTGTTTATTTTATAATATATTTATGCTACGTAGTGTGTTTGTGCCTGGTAAAATTCGAAAACAAGAAAATATTTACAGATAAATATTTTTATTCGAGTCGTGTAATGCTTAAATTGCATTTTAAAAAATCGACGCATTAACTAGTGTTTCATCATCGATTTAATCTCGAAAATCTTCGGTTATTTATCTTCGGTAATTCTGTGTAAATTTCTGGATATGGGCCAAAACGTAAAATTTCTGTCATTTTATTAAATATATTTTATATATTAGTATTATTAATATATTAAAAATATTATAATTAAATTTATTTATATAAAGTTTTATTGAAAAGGTATTTATTGATATTTATCAATAAATATTCTTTAATATTTGTCAACAAATAGCTTTTAAAAATATTGAGCGATAATTTTAGGATATAACGTGCATAAAAAAATTGACGAATTTAATTGGGAAAACTTTATTACTTACAGATAAATCTTACGTTTCTTTTTCTTCATTATTATTATATAATTTTTCACGACATTTTTGTTTATATCAGAAAAATGATTCAAAGGCAGAATTCATGGAACTCATTGCACTATAATAAACACACGTGTCAAACAGCTGCCAGTATTTAATGCAAATGCTTCTTGATTTTATGCGAATAAATATTTTTGCGAAGATGAAGACCATAAAAGCGTCTTTCTCTATTTTTTATTATTTCTTAATTTTATTTTATAATTGTAATTTTATTATTCTTATATATCATATAAAAATATAATATATCCTAAATTTATTTCTTATTTATTATTCGTTATTTATATATATAGAGAAACTTTTTATAAATTTTCGGAATCTATTAGTAATATTTTGAAAAGTAATAGTTCATGATCTCAATTTTTGTAATTTTCTCATTTCTTCCATATTCTGTTTATATTAATTTTATTTTTAAAATTAATACCAACATTAATTTTATTTTTAAAATTAATACCAACATATATATGAATACATATATGAATTATATTAATCGGCTTTATAATATTTTATTAACACTAAATAAATTATTAAATAATTTTTTAATAGACTGACAAGAGAGAGATCCGATCAGAATATTACGATAGATTCGCATCAGCTTATATTCCGTGGACAGAGCCTGCAGGCAAGATTTTGACGGTAAAAAGCGTCCGAGTAGATCCGTCGAACATAGTCTGACAGCAGATTAATAACGAAAATGAAGCAACTCTGCTGTTTTGTAAGCACACTTAAATAACATTCGAATTAATTCCGAATAATTCAACATAACATAATATAACCATATTTGTTAGAAGTACTTTCCATTTCATTTTACGTAGAAGCGCCTCTCATTATCTAAGACAAATCTCTACAAATTCCTTAACATTAGTGCGCCAGGCATTATCGGTATGATACACCTATCGATATATCCGCCGTTCACCAATCTCGTATCTTTCAGAACGTGCTTTCGGCTCTCGTAGAAACCCAGGAACCTAGGAACGCAGATAAATCTCCGGAACGACAAGCCGGAGCACCTACGGCGGGGTGTCTCGCTATTGAGCCGATCCTCCAGGGCCGTATCTCCATCGATCTATTCAAGTTCACGGGAGCATGTCCGTGGCGCGGATCACGTGAAGCGAGGATCCGAAAGAGGGAACGACGGTGAAAGAGAAAGAGAGAAGGGAGAAGGCGAGGGAGAGGAGACGAATGCACCGGCACCAGTAAGGACCAGGTGCATCCCCGGGAGCCTGGGAAGCGCAAACTACGGCGAATGAAAACGCCGGCAGATGCTACCAAGCCGCGAGCGGGTCCTCCGCATCGTCGTCCATATATGAACAAGGCGCATCCCGTCCACGTCGCCGACTTTGTTTGCTCACGAGTGCGTCGCGTCGCGTCGGCGCGCTCCAACTCCGGGGATTCAGATCCTTCTCCTCTCGAGTCACCGAATCGGAGCCGGTCGCAATCGGGAATTCTCAAATGGTTTTCCCAACATTGGAATTTTATAGACGGTAAAAAAAATGAAATATTAATTTTTACATTTTTCACGTGTCCCAGAAAGTCCGGATTTTGAGTTGATATAACTCATTCGTCGTATGTTTACTTATTGACAAACTAAAAATGTTAAATAATTGACGCAATACTTTACATTTATTTTTGTTAGCGTGACTTTAAGTGTAATGTAAACATACAAATTAATTAAAAATTACATGAAAAAATCGTTGCAATAATTCGTAAGAATTGTTGCAGGACATTAACATGTAATAGTAATTATTTTAACTGAAATTATTTGTAATAGGAACATTTTAGTAAATTTGATTATTTTGTACGTCAAAATTCAAGATTTGTATTTCAAGATTTACGTAAACTTTTCTTAGAATGTTAAACTGACTTTGAGACATGTTGATTGTTTAAAATGATTATGTTAAAAATACTCAAAATAATGTTCCATTTTTAAGAGACATATATAAAGTGTTAAGTTAGGAAGTTGACATAAATGTAACACATGAAAACGTTATAAAAATAAGAAACATATAAATATAATAAGAACATATAAATTAATATAAATTAATAATAACATATAAATATGTTAATTTTGTATTAAAGTACTAATCAAAACGTGGTAACACAAGAAAATTTTAATTAGACGCACAATTTTTTATTGTATATATACATATATATATTATTTTATTTTATTTAAATGAATTTAGAATTTATATTTTTATGTACTATATATGTGGAAAAATAATAAAATTATATAATTTAATATGATATAATTATAAAATAAAAAAAAAAAATATATATATATTGTATATATATATATATACATATATATATATATATAGAGAGAGAGAGAGAGAGAGAGAGAGGGAAGGCAACTTTATGATTCTTAAATTATTTGAAAACATGCTTCTTGTGATATATATAAATATAATAAATATAATAATTAATTATCCCTTACATGTTGAACGATCCTTAATTCATTCAAATATTTACAATATTGAAAATATAAGTTTCATATTTATTTGTATTTGTATTTAAATTTAAAAATCGCTTTTATAGCTTATTTATTATGTTACTTATTGTAAGTTTCTTTTTCTCTTAGAACAAATAGAAATTAATTAAATTATTGAAAAATTATCTAAAAGTCATTAGGAAATCAAGGAACAGCTGATTTTAAATAGAATTTCACTAGAATTATAACGCTGGATTTCTATCGAAAAATATGTCGAATTTATCAAATTTGCGCAACAAGAATCTTTTTTAAATTCGACAAATTCATTCGTGTGTATCGAGATATTTTTCTGTTATTAATTATATTGAAATCTGCCAAGTAAATTGCCGAGTAATAAAAACATCGTTAAAAGCGTGTGAGAAACGCTTATTACGTTGGAATGATTGCGTTAACAAGATTTTCTCTCTCTCTCTCTCTCTCTCTCCTTTTTTTACGACATTCTTTCTCTTGTTCGAGTTGGAGATCGAAAGTATTGCGCGAAAATAAATGTGTCGTTTCGCATTACGTCCAGTCGTTTCGTCAGGTATTACATAGAGAGAATGCCGGATTATATTCCCGTACTTTCTCCGTGACTTTCACCATGGTCGTTGCGAACAATCGCGGCCGTCTTTATTATTTGCGCTATATACTAGCGTGCTGTTACGCAATCGTTCCAACATGCTTTCACGGCATCACGTGGACCACCGAGGGAGGAAAACAGGAAATGTCGAGGTATCGCAATTTTTTAAAATTATTTATTAATTATTAATTTACAAAAAATTGTCTAACAAATTTATAACATATTATATAACATATTATAACATATTTATAACATATTATATAAATATTTTCTGGATTTAATTAATATCAAAGGTGCAGGGATATTAAATTTGAAAGCAAAATTGGAAATTTAAAATTTCTTTTTAAAATTATATATATATATATATATTATTATATGAGATCTTTATAGATCAAATTTTTTAATAGAGTTATATGCAGCGTTGTATCTTAATTTTAAATAGAAATAATGATTCTCGATTACGAAAGTTCTTAGTAGATACGTCAAATTGATCACGTCCCATTTTTTTTATTATTACTTTATATAATGTATCGTGAAATTAGAAGCAGCATATGCGTCGTAGTGGACTGCCGTCCAAAAATTTTGAAGCCAGCATCACGATGACGAATCAGACGGCGTGACTTAAGAGCGATCGACCACGACTTGCCATATGTTCGACATAAGATCTCTTTTTTTTTTCTTTTTTCTTGAATGTAACACTAATTTGTCATACTTTCCTCCTTTCTCTCTCCGAGTTAACTTTTTATTGTATGTTTTTTTACTTTGTATTTATCGATGGAGTTTCTTCTTATCAATATTCTCGATTCCTTTGAATAAGTAATTTATCTTACAACGGCTTAATTTAAAATACAATATTATGCTTTAATTGAAAAGAAATTTAATTAAGTAACAAATGTATAAAAAATTGAAATAATAAAAAAACTTCAATATCCGGATACATAGTATTCTCGTGGAGAGCAAAACTTTCAGATTATGCGTCTTTCGCAGTGCAAAGGCGATAATTAAGGCCTTGACATGAAAAATAGCCGAAGTGTCAAAAATGAAACTTTGCAGACGGAATGGAAAGCAAATGTTGGAATAGAAAAAATATTGAGTGCCTAGTTTCACATTCTTTGAATTTATATTTTATCTACCTTTATCAAAGTTGTTTCAAAATTATATAATAATTGTTCATTTAAAAATATCTAAATTCCAACATAATTATTTATGAGAGAGAAAGAGACATAAACGAAAAAAATAAGAAAATTAAAAAGTGTCACGATCGTGGATGAAATCGTACGTGAAGCGTACCTCCCTTTATTTTTGGGCGTCTCTCGAGATGAGAAACGCTGTAAGGAGATCAAAACGAAAGCGAGCGTGCGGCTGTAACACGGGCCGCATTAATTCGGTCTCTCTCTCGTGTGCCAGAAGTATCCCCAAGAACTTCCAAGGGAACCTTGATGCAGTAACTTTCATCCTGCGCGACCTACCTCACGCATTTCCCCGTAACTTCTTCCTCCTCGTAGCCTCCATTCGGCCCGTGACCCACCTAATCTGAATACATTTCGATATCTTGAAACTGGGGGCTTATCCTGTAGAAAAATTACAACCACCTAAATTTTTTTGCTGCGTGTTTCAATTCCCGTTTTTCTCTTCGGATTTATAAATGATGCTCTTGAGATTGTATTTTAATTCTTTAAAATTCTCAAAGAATTCTACAAAATTCAGAATCGACGGTTCCTATTTCTCGTCCCTTCCGACGTACGTTGAATATTAAATTGTATTCGATTAATTTGTATTCGTTGGCGGAAGCCAGTCTCGAGGAGAGATACGCGGCGAGCGACTAATCTAGAGGAGAACGAAGAGAAATGGCGTCGCGAATCCTATAAAAGGCATAAGGTCTCGCCCTTATCCGCGGCTTATCGGCCACGATTTATGCCCGTCGAAGGGCTCGTTTCTCAAATTTCCTCGAGCCCTTCTCTTTCTTTGAGGACGACGTTCCCGGTTCTCCCGCGGGAACTGCACGATAAAGGGAAACCTGCATTGTCACGCGGGGCATATATCGTCTTAACGAAAGACTCGCTCTTAGATAGAGAGGCGACGGAGCGAGATAAAGCTCCAGGGAAGAGCGGGTAGGAACGCTGACGTGAGGATGCAACTCATTACGACAGCTGTCTTCGCTGTGGGAAAAATCCTTCGGATACCGGGATATCCGCTCCTCGAACCGCGGGGGGAGGATTCATGAACGCGCGTGAATTGAAATTATTAATATAAATAATTAATAAATAAATTATTAATATAAATTTTATTAATTTAAATTTAATAATTATTAATATAATATATTGCACAGGTGTTTGTTGTCAATGTCCATTAAATATTTCGAAAATACGCTCCTTTCTCTCCCTTTTAATTTGAAACAAATTAAATTATTTAATTAAAAATTAATTATTAATTAAAAACAAATCGATGTAGTAAAATATCAATCACGAAATACAAAAAGAATAAAAGGAGTATTTTGCCCTCTTCTACATGAATTATTCTTTAGGAAAATATTTTTTTCCCTGAACTTTTCGTTTCCTATGGTCATTTAAAAATCTTCAAAATTATATAAAAGTTCGATTAATGTTTTTAATATTAAACATATTGGCAGTTTTGGACAATTAATTATAATTAAATGCGCAGTTTCGCGATCTTTGCGTCTTTCATCAGTGACGTTATGTCGCATCGATACGACGCTTCGCGATGAAGCTCGCTCGAAACTCGCTGTGCGTTAACGCGATCCAAGTCCTGGCGAGGGTCCCACAGCCTTGGAGGAACATATGGTCCACGGGCCGAGGGCATCGTTCATTGGCCGACACGCAGACTCGTAATCTTGCTATTTATCACGGGATGCGAGAGCGTGGCGGTAATCTTCGTGCGTTAAGCCGGTCGCGGTAATCGGTTGAAAAATGCTGACGGTGGAGAGGGTTGACCGAGGCGTGAAGGGAGGATGATTTTTTTTCGCCGGGGAAAAATCGCTCTAAATATACAAATATCTACACGAGAGTTGCTCGTTTAAAATTGCGCATGATACCTTTCGTGCAGAATGATATCAATTATCCCGAGGAAATGACGCAAGTAATGATAATAATTCGTTAATTTACCAATTATTACTTCGATGCAAATATTTGAATTTGAATTTTATACAAATTTTTGTTCAAAGTTTTAATTCGAATTTTTATTTTCCTAATTTGTTGTATTTTATTTTAATTTATTTGATTTTATTCAATTTTAATTTATTCAATTTTAATTTATTTTATTTTATTCAATTTTAATTTATTCAATTTTAATTTATTTTATTCAATTTTAATTTATTTAATTTTAATTTATTTTATTTTATTCAATTTTAATTTATTTTATTTTATAGAATTTTGATTTATTTTATTTTATTTTGATTTATTTTATTTTGATTTATTTTATTTTATTTGTTAATATAGTTTTTCCCGATATTCTGTTAAGTGAATAAA